GGAAGTGCACTCCTACTCAAGTTTAGGAGATGTACCCAGTGGGCAGTTCACTCTGCCTCATAACACATTGGCCTGCTGAGAAAAACTATACAAAGCATTGCCTCTCCCAGATTCAACACTATCTTATGAGATGCTCAAGCTCATGATTCTGTGAACACTCTGAAACATTGAAGTGTTACTGATGTTGGAAGGGTCAAAAGAAGAATCTTCAGCATTTATCTAAGCTTGCTGCCAACATGAGAGACTTTATTGCACAGCACTTGGTTGCCAAATGCTGACTGAAGCCTTAAAAGCTATCTAACCTCAGCATCATGTGATGTTAGGGCACTGTCTCAATTCCTGCTGTTTTGTGAGTAGGACATATATTGTGTGCATACTTGTAAGTGGAAATAACCAAAGACATTGAGTGTACGATCAGATGGATAACGAGACACTCAGTCTGCAAAACAAAAGATTAAGGACTTAAAATAACAAGGTCCTCATGTTATTTGCATAATGTAGAACTGTTTTCCATATAACCAGCAGGATGTTAAACAATTGAAGGGAATTCAGACACAGCTCATTCATACTGGAAGCAAGTTTAATTAAATTCTCTTAGGCTTCTCACGATAGATGATACATTGCTCTTTTGGATATCCCATCAGGTCAATATCCTAATCCTCATCTATTTCCTCATAAAGTTGCCATTGATCTCCCAGTTCCACTGCATCCAGGACATCCCCACTTTGTTGGCTCCAGTTGTAAAGGAGATGCCATGCCACGTAGATGCAGAAAACCCAGTCTGGGTTATACTGCAAGACTCTGCCAGAGTGGTCCAGGCATTCGAACCTCACGTTAAGAAGGCCTATTGTTTGTTCCCTGGTGGGAACGTGAGCAGTATTGTTACTATGTCTGTATCAGTCCTGAGTGTTTTATACAGTGTCATTAGCCATGTTTGGAGGAGGTAGCTCTTGTCAACCAGCCCTATTTGCCCAGACACTTGAATAGAGGCAGGAAGCTGTGAGTTTTCCAGTATGTAAGCATCATAGGAAGCCTCCAGGATATCGTGATTGATTGATTGATTTATTGTCATATATACCAAAGTACAGTGAAAAGCTTTGTTTATGAGCAAAACTGGCAGATCATAGTATGCAAGGATGTACAGATCAAAAAATATAGACAGAGGCATACAGGTTACATTGCACAGGGTGTCTGTTAGGTGGATCAACATTAGCAAGTTCAGCATTATTTGAGGCTAGAGAGTTCATTCGTCAGTCTATTAAGGGCCGGGGAGAAGCTGCTCCTGAACCTGCTGGTGGATGTGTTTAGGCTTCTGTATCTTCTGCCTGATGGAAAAGTTTGTAAGAGATCATTACCAGGGTGCGATGGGTCTTTGATGATGTTGGCAGCCTTTATGTGGCAGCGAGCCGTGTAAATACAGTCCACGGATGGAAGATTGGCTTCCATGATGGTCTGGGCTATGCACACCACCTTCTGTAGTTTCCTATGGTCCTGGGCAGAGCAGTTACCGTACCAGGCCATTATTCACCCGGACAGTTTGCTTTCAATTGTGCATCTGTAGAAGGTGATGAGGGACTTTATGGACATGACAAATTTCCTGAGCTGCCTGAGAAAGAAGAGGCATTGTTGTATGTTGGAAGTCTAGGACAGGTTATCAGTTATCATCACTCTGAGGAACTTGACGCTCTCTACCCTCTCAACCTCAGTTCCGTTGATGTAGAGGGGGGCATGTTCTCCTCCTTTCTTTCTGAAGTCAATGATCAGTTCTTTAGTTTTGCCAGCATTGAGAGAGAGATGGTTTTCATTGCACCATGTCACCAAGCCCTCTATCTCCCTTCTGTATTTTGACTCAAGATTGTTAGATATCCATCCTACTATGGTGGTGTCATCAGCAAACCTATGGATAGTATTCATTTGGAATTTGGCAACACACTCATAGGTGTACAGGGAGTGCAGTAGTGGACTGAGGATGCATCCTTGGAGGGCTCCAGTGTTGAGTGTTATTGTAGCAGAGGTGCAGTTACCTATCCTCACTGATTGCGGCCTATGGGTCAGAAAGCTGAGGATCCAGTTGCAGTGGGTGGAGCCAAGACCAAGGCCATGCAGTTTTGAGATCAGTCTGGAGGGGAGAATGGTGTTGAAGGTGGAGCTGTAGTCAATGAGCAGGAGTCTGACATAGGTGTCTTTGTTGTCCAGGTGTTCCAGGGATGAGTGCAGAGCTGGGGATACGGCATCCGCTGTGGACCTGTTACATCGTTGGCAAATTGTAGAGGATTGAGGCAGGCTGGGAGACTGGAGTTGATGTAGGCCATGATGTGGAGGTGCCAGGGTTGGACTGGGGTGAACAAAGTCAGAAGTCACATGACACCAGGTTATAGTCCAACAGCTTTATTTGAAATCACACAAGCTTTGGAGAAAAGCCTCTTTGTCAGGTGCAGTGATAGAGCGGAGCGCACAGACCCAGAGTTTATAGGCAGAGAGATCAAGGGCAGAGAGATCCATAGATGATACAATTCAAAGCACTTCATGATTATTGAGGTCAGAGCCACTGGGTGGTAGTCATTAAGGCACGTTGCATGTGCTTTCTTAGGTACGGGGATGATGGTGGTCTTCTTGAAGCAGGTCGGGACTTTGGCTTGTAGGAGGGAGAGATTGAAGATATCATTGAATACCTAGCAGGCATCTCCAAAATCTGGCATCTTTAGTTTAAATTGATCATTGATTGAGTAGAAGCCTTTTTCTGTTGATGAGCTCTGCAGGTTGCTGTATAAAGACTAGAGTGATAGTGATCTGTGGAAACTCCCCCTCTGGTGTTCCCTGCTCTTCTTATGCTCAGTGAGATCCCACCCTTCCGTCTTGAACTGCACCCTTTCACTGTATTCATTCCATTCATGACCCAGTCCAATGAAGCTCATCGCCAGACTTGAGTTCCTTGCTTTCCCCAGGACTGCACAGGCTGTTCCCTGATAAACACCACACCCCCACCCCGACCATTATTGCTCAAATCCCTAGGGCTGACCATGGCTCGTCTACGACTGATTTGGCAAGTCAGCCCCAACTGAACATAGATATCTCCACAACACCCGAATATATGTACCTGTAATCCCCAGATTGCACTTGGCCATAGATGATCCACACACTGCAAGGACATGGATCCCAGACTCTCGTAAGATGAAGCACCTGTCTGACCATGGCCCCCTGTGCACTAATGAACCCCTGACTGACTGCAGTCTGCCTTGGCCCCACCAAGGACTGCTCTCCTTTGACTTTCAAACATGACTATTTGGTCAATGCATAGACACTGTGTAAGCAGCAGACAGATGCTGTAGCTGTGACATTGACATAGCAACACAGCCACCCCCTTGACTGCTCAGTGTTCTGAGCCATGGCAAGCTGCCTTTGCATTAATAAGTTATGCTGGCCAGAGGGGCAGGCAACTCCAAGGAAGCAGAAAGTGAATGAGCACTAAGGAATAAAGCTAAGAGGAATAAGATGCATTCAGTTTAGATGGTGAAATATGGCAATATCTCTGAGTGGTAAGTGGCCTGGCAGAGGGATGTGAAGCATAGGTGTCCCTGAGCTCCAATTTAAAGCCGTGAAGGTCTGAGGTGTGTGTGAGTTGGGACAAGCGTAAGCCTGTTGATGTTGTGAGGCTGGTGGTTTGCCATTGCTGACTTGTTTTGATGAAAGCTGGAGGTGAAGGTGTCCATGAAGCATACAAGGTGCTATCAGGAAAATAGAGTTGGATGAAGACCAGGACAAGCTGAAACCACCAAGCACCTTGTGTGATTTACATGTTGGGAATTTGCATTGTCTAATTTCTCAGAGATGGAGATGGGTTCCTTAATTGCTTATGTCATTATCGTTGCTAGAATCTTGTTAGTAGTATCTTACTATGTGACTTTTACATAAACACGTAAATCACATCCACAATTTGCCCTTTCATTTTCTAGCTATTTCACTATGGAACTTCAAACAGTTGTTCTAGTACCATCTGTCATTTAGAAATTCATGCTGACTGGCCTGATTTCTTCATGAGTCTGCAAATACTTTGGAATTCTTTCATGTTATAAACCCTTGTGGTAAGTTTTACAAGGGTGTACTAATGGTGAGAAACCACAGGTGCAAAGTTTTATACCTTGTGGCTCTGGTATCTCCAGAATGCAGTGATCTTGTGCAAGGTTCCTCTCTGGACAGGTGACTGCAGAAATTTTAGATTTACCAGTTTACCAACAATTGAAGTAAGATGAACTGGTCTGTAATAGCTCTTTCTTTTTCTGGAGCTGTGAAAAATCTATCAGCCTCAAGCCCTCTGGCAAAATTTCCTCTTCTCAAAGCATTTAAAGCAATGTAAATTGTCACATTTTTGTGATTATCTGCCTTACATTTGTACTTTAAATTGTTCAATGCCTACTTCTGACGATATCCCACCTCTGAAACTAGAGCAACATTTTTCGTAAGTAAATAAAAACAGAAAGTGCTGGAGAAACTCAGCAGGTCTGGCATTATCTGTGAAAAGAGAAACAGAACTAATGTTTCAAGCCCAATATGACATTTTGTCAGAATAATAGGATTCTGTTGTTCAGTTCCAAAGAAGATTTTAGACTCAACATTAATTTTATTTTTCTCCACAGATGCTGCCAGACCTGCTGTGTTTCTCCAGAAAGTTTTGTTTTTATTTAGGATCTCCAGCATCTGCAGTATTTAGCTTTTACTTGTACTTACTACGGTCTCGCCACAGACTCACAAAATTGACTTGAATTTGTTTGTCAATCAGAAACCGCAAATCAAACCAGTCAACTGACATCTGAAGCAGGGAGACACTGCAGAGAAAGACAGCACCTTCTCCAAAATTAGTCACCACATGCTATGTTTTATTTCACATAATTTTAATTCATCAATGAGAATCTATGAGTACATCAAGGGAGCAGACTTAAAGGATAAAAAGCCCATAAATACACGACTAATTTTTGAATAACATGCACTAGGCACTAATCATTGCTGAAATTTTGTGGGACATTATATATATGCATATAGCCCAAAATTTTGTATTTGGTAATTTTCCTAGATTGCAAAATAATGAAACGTCTGCAAATGAGAGTCCAATATTTGCTTCTGATGAGATAATTTTCTTGCCAGGGGTTCTCATAACGAAAACATATCTTTACATATTTTACAGTAATAAATGTCTGAATAAAACTCATTTTAAAAAATACTTTAACAGGCACTAAAATGTTACATAAACTTCTATTTCAAAAGCAAGAAAAAAGTCAAACTCAACTTTAATGTTGTTTTGTCATTTGGAAATGCGATATATGCCACGTCAGTATCCCTTTTCCAGCACAGCAGAAGTACTTTAGGTCAATCAAAAGAGATTCAGTCCTGTTCATTTTCCAGTAATTATGTGTCACCCAACTTGAATTTTATTTGTGAATTGTACACAGTGGACATTGAAGACTTGCTTTTCAATGGCATTTTATATCTCACTTGTTTCCAAAATCTCGAATAAGATCTCTCTGGTTTGCCTCTTCTGTCTGGTTTCCATTTAATAGTGCCATTTTTTTGAATGACGTGTCTTATGGATTCTGGGAAGTGATTCAAGCAATCATTTTTCTCCAATTCAATTAGAATGACTTTTATTTCATTCTGGATTAAAGCATTATATAATCCAACTTGCTGTTCAAATCCACAGTATGCTTGGTTATTAACTGAAGGTTTTTGAGCCAAAATGATTATCAATCTTCTGCTGATCCTTATGTTTGCTTCAATAGCTTCAACCTCAGCTGTAAATTTAAAGCAGGCATAAAATCTATTATAGATATTTTCTTGTTAATATTAGTTCTGCAAAGAGTTATAGACAGGCATCAAAGAACCATGAGAGAAGAAATTGGTTCCAGTAATCAAAGAACCCCTAGAGTGTAGAATTAGGCCATCTGGCCCATCAAGACAACACTGACCATCTGAAGAGCATCCTACCCAGATCCACCCTATTCCCATAACCCTGCATTTCCCATGGTTAATCTACCTAGCCTGAACATCTTTGGACTGAGAGAGGAAATTGAAGCACCTGGAGGAAACCCACGCAGACATGGGGAGAATGTGCTAACTCTACATGGAAGGCTGCCTGAGGGTGAAATCAAACCCGGGTCCCTGGAGCTGTGAGGCAGCAGTGCTAACCACCGAGCTGCCATGCCACACACATTGCGGCTTGCTTCTGTATGCTTCTTTGTCCAAAATTTAGAAGAGATAGCACAGCCTATAGCTAGTTGCAATCGTCCATGCCTATTCCCCAATAGAAAAGTCTTGACTTCTAAGTGCTCACTTAACATAGGCATTTGAATACACAGGGACCCAACATTTCCTTTTGTACCACAATGGCAAATTCAGCTGCTACCATCAAACAGTGCAGCTGTCTCAATTCCATGTTTGTCATGTATTGCTGAGTGTCTGCCATGCTGCTGGCTGCCTCCTTGGGATGAAACAGTGTTTGTTTATCTTATGTGGTACTGCCAGCCTTCTGTTTTTAAAGTCAGACTGTCCCTCTTAAAGGGGAGCAGCACTGAATTGCTGGAGTCATCTGCCAAATATTTTTGCTGCAATTCCATACAAGGAAACTGGAACACCGGGATAGGGAGGAAGCATGGAAGGACATGGAATACAGTTCTCAAGCTCTTAACTGGTTGATGTGGACAGGAGGAGGGATGCTTTTAACCAGTAGAGATAACTCAATCACTGTCTTTCACCACCATGGGTTCTGTAACTAACAGACAATGGGGAAGAAGACCCTTGAGAACTAATGCCCTGAGCAGTCAACCAGGGAAGTTAACAAACAGATTCTGAAACCAAGAACATGACAGCAATGTGAAAATAAGTCCAGTAATTTTGCAAAGTGGTCAATGTGAATTAATGCATCTGCATATGACATCACCTACCTGTTCATTAAGGCTCAAGATAACAGGAACTGATAAGAGGCTTTACAATGGACTGTTGCGTGAGTGGAGTTACACTGTGCTGTTCAGATCAGCGAAGAGCTAAGATTGCAGGAAATCAGTAACTGCTGTCTCTACCAAAAAAGAATGAAACATTCGGGATTGGTCACGTGAACAGGTAATTCCAAATAAGGCAGACACTTGGCAAAGAGACCCGCATATAAAGAGCCCAGGAAAATCCTTGATTTTCAGCAGAACTTCAAAAAGTGACTCTGCTGGGGGTACACTATGTCAGGAAGCATTGGTGAAGATGTCAAGAAGAGTTCCAGCCTAACCAGCTACCAACTCTCATGGATAATAACATTTGTGGTTAGCTACAGAACTCAGGGTAGTGAACGACAGTGATTGAGTTATCTTTATTGGTTAAAAATGTGTGTTATTCATTTAAGTACATGATAAATTAATTGAGTTTTGTAGAGCTCTAAGTGTCTCCAGTGTACCTTTTCTATTTATATACAGCTGCCTCTCAGAAACAGGCAACAGAATTTGGCATACCTGGGTGGGCATTGATAAGGAGTAGCTTTAAGTTACTCTGATGACAGACCGAGTAACCTCTGACTTTCCCAACATCCTGCTGGAATATGTGGGTGTAAGTAAAAAGAACAGCAGACACACTAATGAAGTTAGCACTAACAGAGAATAGTGGGTCCAGGGCACTCTGACTGGAGAGGATTTCTCCAATAGTAATCCAATAGGCTGGGAAATGGCCAAAGTACTTAGAGTATACTGGATAGGACCAGTATGGGAATGGGAACACATGGAGTATGGCAAAAGATAGAATGGAAAAAAGGAATTTTAAGGAAGTGCAGAAAGCTGTAGCAGTAGGCTGTATGTTGGAAGACTGGACAGGAAGCCAGAAGTGAGAGCTGAAGATGTGAACAGAGATAGCTGAGCTTAGAGAAGGGATAAAGAGACTGCCCAAGAAGGTCAGGAATTGACAAAGCCAGCGAGATGCCAACCTCATGCGTATGATCCAGTATCAGACGCAGTGTGAGAAATTGATGAGGGAGAAGAAGAAAAGTGAAGAGGAAACTAAAACACAGATTATCCCTCTTCATGCTAAGATCTGATTCTGCAACTTCTCTATCAACACAAAGAAGAATAATACACGCTTTTGTGACCCCACTCTCTGAGGAGGGATGGGACGAAGGTGGTGACATCGACTGGGGAGGACTAGAAAATGAATCGGCCAGCTATGGAGAGGAGGACCCAGGGGAATGGGCTCCCCCTCTGGAGGGAGGGGCAGGAGAAAGGTCCACTACCCCTATGGCCACCCCAGATCACAAGGAGAAAACAGCCAGTAGTGCCAGGAGGGCAACACCCTTACCCCCCCGACATCACATATACCACCCCTTACGATGTTCAACAGTTAAGAGATATAGCCAAGTGTATAGGGGATTATCGGCCTGGGGATGACCCCCAGGAGCTATTCCAAGCTACCCACAAGCAGTGCACCATACACAGGTTAGATAATGAGGTGGAGAAAACACTAATACAGATGTGTCTCCATCCCACTATACATTCAACTTTGATTGAGCAACAAAATGCGGGAGGAGGCACAATAGATGATTTAAAGGAGGTTGTACTGACGGCCATTGGAACTAATAGAGGGGACCCAGTGGAAGGCCTGAATAAGTGTAGACAGAAGAAGGGGGAGCACCCAACTGCGTCTGCCACAAGGCTGTGGTTAGTGTTCCAAGGCGTACATAGCCCAGGGCTAGACCAGCAAAATTTGGCTGCACCTTTTGACAATCGGTAGTTCCGTATGCTGGTATCACATGTGACAGGGGAGCCGCGAAAGGTATGTGACATGGCTGACCTCTCCGACAACACACACACTGAGGTGTGGGTGTTGAGGAAAGTGGTCAGAACTTGGGAGAAGGACATGAGAGGACACAAGACACAGGGAGGACAAATGGCACCTCTTAGAGGTTAGGGAGCAGCTTGGAAAAATGAAGGAAAGGGACTAGTCCAAAGTGGACCACCACCGCCCTCTCAAATTAGAACTACAATTAGGTTTTATTGTCACATGTACTCAAGTACAAGAGTACAGTGAAAGGTCTGCGATGTCACCTTTCATGGCACCATGGAACAAGGCACCTAGGTACAAAATCTTAGGTAAAGAATAGAAAAATAAAGAAGTTCAGCATTATAGTTCTTGCCAATGTAAAGTAGTAAATAAGAAATAAATTAAAAATTCCTTCTTTAGCCATGGGCCTGCAGTCGCTCCAAGCTGGCTCTCCCCACATGGATCTCTCGCTGCCCGTACCTCCACAGTGCCGTCTCTCCACCGGCTGCCATCCGGGCTCACCAGCTGCATTACTACACGCCACCAGAATCCCGCTATGGTGCCAGTCCAGGCCCCCAACAAGTCCATGATGCTGCCAACCACCAGAGCCTGGGCGCACCAACCACCTCGTAGCCAACTGGCAAAATCCCCACTCTGGGCACCCAGCCACTGCCTCCACAACCCAAGCTCCCTCCAGGAGATAAGTAGAGAGAAAAACTGAAAAAAGAAAGATAAGAAGCAAGAAAAGAAGAAGAGAAGGTCGGATCAGAAGAGCTCCAGCTCAGGAGCTCTACTCCGCCACCATTTTGGACAAGAAATGGTTGGAAGGGGGATGTTGGCCTGGATGAGGAGTCCCACCCGTGGCTGTAGGGTGCAGTAGAATCCCCAGGGGCTCATGGAAGTGTTTCAATTGCGACGAAGAAGGGCACTATGCCAGAGATTGCCCAAAACCCCTGGAGGAGCAGGACGAATCAGATGTATGTCCAGCCCTTGCCCCTAGATGGACCCCAGTCCATGTTACGGAATAATGTTCAACCAATTGAGGCAACAAGTGGGTTGTGCTCCAATCCCCAATGACAGTCTCAGGCCTCTCCAATATAGATGTATGATGCAAAATGGGATGGGACAGGGAAACTCTTAGTGAACGGTAGAGTAGGAGACTGCCCTATCACCTTCCTTTTGGACACAGGAGGATTCCGCACCACCCTCAATACATCTATTGTTAATAGCGACAATTGGAAAATAGAAACAGAAATAATCTTGAGTGGTTTTATGGGACTTTCTCAAGTAAGACAAGTGACTAGACCTTTAAATATAAAAATAGGAGAGGTAGAGTTGATGCATCCGATAGTATTAATAAAGCTCCCAGCAAATCAAGACCATATCCCGGGAAATGATTGCATGGCCAGAGCAGGACTGCATTTTGATCCAGTGAACTGTATGATATGGCAAATGTCAGGAATAAGTAAGGAGCAGTTTGTTACTGAAATCCCTGCGGGACAGTATAAGGATACAGTGTGTATGTTGGGAGAAATGTGGACCTGTCCTACTGACATGAGGGAGGACCAGATAGTGTAAGGAATTATTGGACAAAACTGGCAAGTGTTTGCCAAACATAAGCATGACTGTGGACAGACGCAAGGGGAGGTGTGTATACAGGGTCTAGATCCAAAGCCCCAAAAGAATATGGACTCCCCAAGCAGGTGGACGGTGATATAGAAAAGGTAGTACAAAGCCTGGTAGCACAAGGGGTGTTAAAGTGAATCTCCTCTCTGAACAATTCATCTATTTGGCTGGCAAACAAACCCGATGGGGTTTGGCGACTGACTATTGATTATCGCGAACTAATAAGGTAGCATCCTTAACAGCATCTACAGTGGCTACTAGCCCCGAAACCATGATTAAACAGAGTGAATCTGCACAGTGGTTTACAGTGCTGGGTATAAGTAATGGATTTTGGTCAATCCCTTTGTCCAAGGAGTGTCAGTATAAATTTGCATTTACC